CGGTTCCACTGGGGTCAAGAGGAGGAGGCTGCTTTCTGCTCCCTTTGGGACGCCCTGGTAAAAGCCCCTCCCTTGGTTTACCCAGATTTTTCTAAGCCCTTTTTGCTCGACACCGATGCGAGCAACACGGGTATTGGGGGTGTGCTTTCCCAGGTGGTTGATGGCGTGGAACGGGTGGTCGCGTACGGTAGTCGGGTGTTGTCTCCTGCGGAGCAAAGATATTGTGTCACCCGTAGGGAACTGTTGGCAATTGTCTATTTCATCCAACAGTATCGCCCATATCTGTACGGTCGGCATTTCACCGTCCGCACAGATCATGCGGCACTACAGTATGCCCTGCGAGTTCAACAACCATCGGGACAGTTGTCTCGATGGTTGGAGGTTCTCCAGGACTTTGATTTTGAAACCACCTACCGTAAGGGCGTTCGCCATACAAATGCGGACGCTCTGTCGCGCATGCCAACCACCTCCGAATGTGCATGCCTCCTGGGGTCGGGACGTTGCAGGCCTTCAGGGGACGCATCGGTTCCGGTCTTGGCAGCCACCGACGACGACGAACCATTAGTTACTAATTCGATCGAACAACAGGGAAGAGATTCCCTGTTGGGGTTGCCCGTCACTGAATGGGGGCGCCTCCAAATGGAGGATACCTCCCTCCTCGGGTGGCGTCGTCGCGTCGGGGGTGCTGGGCGGGTGAAGGGTGATTCGGATGCATGGGAAATGGTGCAAGGTCTGCTGATGCATTGGGACGGCAAATCCCAGCGACATCGGCTGGTGATCCCTTCTGAGTTGCGAGGCAAGGTGGTGTGGGCCGCGCATGAGCGCCTATTACACCTGGGGACCCAAAAGACTCTTGCACTGCTGCAACTTGATTTTTTTTGGCCTGGTATGACGAGGGATGTTGGGGATCTATTGGGATCATGCCCTCGGTGTGCGCAACGGAAACCGCCGGCGCGGGAGTCTAACCCGCCCTTGCAATCGATCAAAGTGTCCAGAATAAATGAGCTTGTCGCGCTGGACATTTTGGGCCCATTTCCCGCCACCCCCAGGGGCAATAGGTATTTGTTGACAGGTGTCGAGTATTTTACGCGCTGGCCTATGGCCTGGCCCCTTGCCAACCAGTCGGCAGCAGCCATCGTGGAGGCCTTTGTTCAGGGATACGTCCTGGACATAGGTGCTCCGGAGCGGCTGCTGACCGACCAGGGCAGAAATTTTTCCGGTAAATTACTCAAACAAGTCTGTGACCTCTTAGGCACGAAGAAAATTCGTACCTCCCCGTATCACCCGCAAACTGACGGAATGGTCGAGCGCCTGCATCGCACCATTACGTCAATGATGTCACAGCAGGTCTCGGACTCACAGACTGACTGGGACCTGCATATTCAAGGGGTCTTGGCGGCATACCGGATGGCACCCCATGCAGCTACGGGATTTTCCCCCTTTTACCTCATGTACGGTCGCGAACCCGACCTGCCTGTTCGCGCCCAGCTGCAGATCCCCGACCCGCAAGGGAAAACTAAATTGGCTGACCACGTCAAATTTAATCTGGCCAAATTAACAGAGGCGCGGGATGCTGCTATGCTAAACTCGGACCTCCGTCAAAAGGCGAATGAGTGCCTCAGGCTGGGTCGGGCGCACGTGATACAGTGGAAGCCGGGGGACAAGGCATGGTTGCACTGTCCCCAAGTGCCCCTGGCTACCTCCCCTAAGCTGGCGCGGCCGTGGCGGGGCCCTGTGGAGGTGGTCGAAGTTTTGCGACCACAGTGCGTGCGCATTAAATGGGGGAAGCGGCGATGGTTCGTGCACCCCTCTAGGTTAAAACCCTTCGTTGCGGTACACAAACCCACTTCACACATGCGTGGCCAAACGTGGGGGGGGTCGACCGTCTCATTGGGTCCGTCTCCGTCGTTCTCACCTAATGCCTTGCCGGCCGTGCCACGTCCAGGTGCATCAGGACTGACGGGCTCACGCCCGACCACCCCTCCTGGGGATACCGACGGTCGCGCGGCATCGGATGAGGTCTCACTCCGGGACGGACAATTGCCACCTGACGGTCCGCCACCCGGGGTTACCCCGTGTGAGGGGCCCGCTGCAAGGACGCGCGCAAAAATGCGCAGACTGTTATGAGGCCGGAAGATGTGTACATAGGTTGTGTTCATCGTGTGTTGTGTGGGTGGTGTGTTCCCTGCCCAGTGAATGTACATATGTTGGGTTCATTGTGTGTTGTGTGGGTGGTGTGTTCCCTGCCCATTGAAATGTACATACGTTGGGTTCACCTGGTGTTGTGTGTATGGTGGGTTCCCTGCAAATTGTATATAGGTTGTTTTTTTTACGGAATTCGTATTTATTCAAGGGGGGGTGCGTCGGGTTGTTTTCTCTTCTTGCTGTTGCATTTTGTTGTGTTCTTGTTGCTGTTCTTGTTATTGTTGAAAAATAGTGAGGCACACGCGCGGTCAAGGTGTAAATGCACTTTTATTGTCATTTTTGTATGTTGGCAGCCGGGACGGCTGCAAGCTATGCGGGGAGGGGTGATGTAGGGGTGTTAAAGAGAGGGCCCGTTATGCATGGCAGCCTATGGAAAACAAACACAGTGGGCGGGGCTACGTAAGTGCACGAGCAAGTGCCCTCTACGACGTCCGAGCCAGACACCCTGGGGGGGGCTGGTTCGAACGTTATGATCCCCCGGGGCCCCACCCCTCAGGGAGGGGTTGGGTATAAAAGGGGATGTTCAAAGGGCTCAAAGGAGTTATGTTTAAGCTAAGGGAAGAAGATTGAAGACGTCTTAGATAGAGCCCTGGACTCCCCTGGTTCGATGTCCTTTTCAGGGCCGGACAGGATTGAGCCAGCGGCGTGGTCCCGAAAGCCAGAGCCGGTGCTCTTGTAAGAGCTGGTCTGGAACTCCGGGTACCGGGCCCGACTTACCAGTGTCGGGCCAGTTAGCCTCCCCTAGCCCATTAGTGGAGGATTCGGGGCTAGGACAGAGTTAGCTAGGGGTGTATCCCGAGTTATACGGGTGAGGGGGCCGATACCCCCTCGAGTGTGTATATGCCCACTGTCATATTGTGAATAAACATACGTGTGCCTCAACCTCGGCGTCAAGCGTCCTCACCGGTACTTCATATAATTAGATTTTGTATTGTCTTTGGAGGACTAGATACCAACTTGCACTGTCGGTCTCCCAAACCTCACTAACCCAGGCCAAAAACATTCGTATCCAACTGGCCTCTCCAACCTATTTCACCCCACCTCCCTTATGCTATGAATATTGCAAATGCACTATACACAAGCCAGTAGTGTCTGGTTGTTTTAATTAGAGAGAATGCGCGTATTTGACCTCACCATTCGTATAATGTATCTGGGAGTGCAGACGTATGCATCCAAAATAACAGACGGTCTCTTGGGAGGAGGGTTCTGGTAAGGTTTGAGGTCAGTGGGAGTGCACAGGTCTTGGAGCTGTGTTTGAAATATTGACGTCGCTGCCCAAAACTCGAGCGCATGACGAACGAAGCGGTGGGGATGCTGCATGGGAAGAAAGTACATTGTCTTCATGTGTTTTGTCAATCAAAACACGCTGAGCGCAGTTGGGAAAGAATCGTTTTTACCTTTCCAGCTCCAGTATACCTAATTAGTAATATGTAGCGATGGTAATGCGTCAACAGCAGGCAGCATTATCTAATCGCACTGAACTCATCACAGGTCAAGCGTCAGAAGGTATGCAGGTGTTTGAACAAATATGTATATGCATATATATGTACAGTAGAACTCTAAAAATCCACACTCCAATCGGTGAATCCCTGTAATATGCGGATCATCGGCGGTTCATGAACGCTTCCATAATCTATGGGACCATTGATCCTGATATTTGTGAAATCCTTGAGAATTGATGGCTCTTTTCTCGGAGAGGATCTTTGTCTTATAAATGTATCAATGTCATTTCCATATTTATTATAATTAGTTTACAGCACTGTGCAATGCAAAGAAACCGGCAGCCTCTTTGCAATGTAAACTCTGTAAGGATGTTTTCTTTAAATGCTGGGCATTCCAAAGAGCCCACTGGATTCATTGCAATGCACACTCCATGATGTGTACAAATATGTCCAGCTGCATGTTTAGACTTGATATTGAAAAAAAAACTTTAACGTAAACCATCTGGCAGATTTTCTCAATGTGGGTTTTGACAAAATCGTAACTGTATAATAATTAGCTAATTTATCATGGATTCATGGAGCTACTAGTCATGTAATGCACTTCTCCTGTAATACGCAAAGTTTTCCCGGATTAACGGAGTCGCGCGGTTAATTTCTGCCGCATACCGCGTCGGCATACATTTTTGCGAATTACGAGACTAATCTCAACGATGTGCCACAGATGATAGAATCAGCTATATGATCCCCCCATATCACCACGGATGATTTGAGTTCTGCTGTGGCGAATACATGTATGCACCTGTGCAGCCCTATTGTCAATCCACTCCCCTATGCCATGTGGGACATGGAGGGTTATTACACCATACTTCACCATGCTGAACAGTGCAGATTGGTGAAGGTGGGAAGCATAGATGTGGAAATATAAAGTACATTACAACCATGGGGTTTTCTTCAGGGCTCTCTGCTGCCACTGCCTATGACACCTTAAGCATGGTGGTCGGCCCAACGCTGCTTAGCGACTGTGATCTGTTGCACGGGTTAGCACAGTACATTATGATTTTGGTAAACTGAGTTTGATTCCCCGCCACAGCCTGCATCATTGACGAGTGACAGCTGAACGAGTTTTGGGCCCCACCTGTACCAAACCACACTGACCAGCGTAGAGAAGACTGGTTACACAAGCCCCATGACTGCAGTAGTGTGGGAAGACTGTATTTAGCAGTGATTTAATGGCTTCATTTACTGTGCTATACTCGATCCAATGTATTTCATACAACTTTTCTTCGTGCATCCACACTTACATACGTGATATAACTCCACGTGATTTATTAATTCCCACTGTTACTATTACAGGGTCTCTTCACGCTGATTTTGTTGGCTTGGATATTCGTTCCTGTGTACATCACATCTGGGGTAAGCAGTCGATATTCCATTACGCGATGCCGTAAATGTCAAATCTTTAATGAAGCAAAATCTAATTATAGTTCGGTTGGATAAATCAGAGCAAACACATTCTAGAACATAACATATGTCAATGACCCCGACACCCACTGTCATGTGCAATGATTTTCAGATATGGTTTGTCCTATTAAACTTTTATGCCCAGATTCTCTTGTTTTATGTATATAATGTGTGCGACATGAATTATTTAGCCAGAAGTAAGGTTAGTGCTGACACATATCCATTCACACGATACTAATGTATAGATACTGCTGTTGTGGTGTCATATTTAGCACACTGGACTTGCAAGTTGTTCAGTATGAGTGGATCTCCCAGCACGACAATTAAACAATGTGGTCTAGAAGGGGCTCTAGCGAGTGCCATTAGAGGCACATTTTTTTACCCGATCTTCCACGATGGAAGATGTGGAAGTACCCAACATTTACACCACGACGCGTGGCTTGCTGATCAATTAATTGCGGCGAACCCCTTTATTCTCCTGGGTGGGCAAAAACGGGGAAAGGGGATTTAAAAAAAGTATTAATTGTTTCAACTGCCGCGCCAGGAGAACAAAAAGACCAGCGGCCTCTGAATTTCAAGTCCAATGTGCTAATCAATACACCATGGCAGCATCCTTACCCGCTGATGTACGATATGTAATTTCAGTTTAACAAGTGAGCAAACTTTTGTCTACCTTTTTATTGTTTTGCTGCTACAATGCTTCACTGAAGCCTCGTATAGTCTTGTATCGTTTTGTAACACTGCTTACATGCCCCTTTCATATGAACTACATCTGCCACTTAATTAATGTGTACTTACATGCCCTTTTGATATAAACAACATCTGCCACTGAAGTAATTTGTAACTTATGTGGCTCCATACGGCTGGAGGTGGTCACGACTCCTGAGTACCTGCAGAAGAGACATGGAGGCAAGAGGCTGCGGGTTTACCTCTCCTTCCTGAACCTCATCCTCTGCATCTTCACCAAGATCTCCGTGAGTGCACGTCTCACCCTTTGTAAATACCATGCTGTTCGCCTGTGTGCACAAGAGTGGTCAGTGAGTGATGGGTATGTTCCCACGAGTGGCCAGTTTCACAGGATCAGGCAAGCGAAATGAGAAACGCTTTTATGTTGGAGAGAAGAAAAAAGGGTCAGGTGACGTGAGTAACTTGGTATTCAGAGTTTTGTAGATATACGTGCACGTATGCATGCGTATGTGTGTATGTGAAATGGGGAGCAGTGGTGCAGTGATTCGCACTCTTTGCTACAAGACCAGATACAGCAGCTGTGTGCAATTCCTGGCTATGGCTGCTAACACCTCAGTACGTTAGTACTGAGGAGACAGCGACTGTAAATCACCCCCTTGGTAAGCGGTTCTGGCATTAATGGCTGCATAGTCACTAAAAGCTCTTGTCGCAATAATAGTAGTGTCTGTGTGGAGTGGTGGCATAGTGCTCAATAGCACTGCGTGATTGTTCAAGTGCCCTAGATTCAACGTTTTCGTAAATGATAAATACCGTTGGACTATTCGAATTACAAAAGGATTCAAGAGAATATTGTTTCAACCATATTGACTGTCAAGGGAAGTGGTGGGAGTGACCACCAATTAAGAGAAGCACAAACACACACGGGATTTGTATGGTCAGCATGACATGTTGCTTGTTGCATCTGTATCTCAAGTGCCAATGTTTGCTCAGCACAGCTTGTTCTCCTTTAAAACTGAGTTGACCTTAGGAGAGGCTCAAAGCAGTGGTAAGTGGTGAAAAACAAGTGTGCCAATGGTGATACACAGTCGTGACTTGGGGAGGCGCTCTATTACCAGCACCTCCGATTTGCCCCGCACCTCCGATTAGCACAGTTGGCTACGCACTGTGCGACGTAAGTTCAACAACAGACATTATCACTCAACATTTGGCAATGTTCACTTACTGAGTGCAGTTCTGAAATTACATTTCATACCTTTAGCTTTATCTACACATGTTTATGTTCACATAGTGCAGGTAATTCAAAAGGCAACAGAGTCCATTCGTACTAAAATAAAGTATTGTTCCAGGTTAAAACATGACCAAGTTGCAGCGTGTACAAAAAAATGTGTTGTGACGGGTACTGCAAGATCATGTCCGTCCAATGCTGGCTGCATTGGATTCCAGTTACCGAACGAATACATTAAAAAGTCACGCTCTTGACACACAAAGCGTTTGCCACAAATGAACCACAATACCTTGCTTATCTCGTCAAAGAGCATAAACCATCACGCAAACTCTGGTCATCCTCGCAGCAGCTTTTTGCTAACAATTGAACAAAGACAGTCACTGCATTGCACGCTTTCAAATTAGGAAGCCACTATGCATTTTAAATGTAAATTGAAAACTCATTTCTTTACAACTGCTTTTTTCGTTAATTTTATTGTTCTTACTCCGCACCTCCAATCAGCACGGTTGGCTATGTACAGTGCGAAAGAAGTTCAACGTGTATACATGTGTAGTGTAATAGCGCCGGCTGGTGGACAGCAGCGGCAACTGTGGTGGACAGACAGCGCACACGCCGGTGAGCGTGTGCACGGTGTATGAACAAAGGGGAGGAACTAGGGCATGGGTCATGGAAGACCCCGTCTGGAGGCTCCTGGAACCTGCTAGCGGGTTCGAGAAGGGAGGCGCGGTCAGGGCGGAGCCAGGCCGCGCTGGGAGCATAAAAGGAGCCCAGAGCGGGAGCTCGAGGCTGCCGGTTCTGGGAGTGGACTCGTCTCGTCGTCGCTGTCGTCTCGTCGTCATTGTCGCTAACATCTCCTCTACGAAGGATAGCAGTTGGCTATCTCAGTCATCGCCGTCAGTGTTAGACGGCTCGTGTTATGTATAGGCTAGGCTGAGCTACTGTGGAGAGTGTGTGGAGGAGACCCATGGAAGTTGTTAATAAAGAAAGTGCCTCCTAGAAACTCTGTCTCTGAATAGTTGACACGGCACATTGCAAAGGTAGTTTCGCATCCCACGTGTATCTCAATCTATGTCTGTCCTCTTATTTAGTTCCTTGCCCAAGGACAGGTTCATGGCTCAAGCTCCCTCTCTTCTATCTGATTCCGCTCACCCTCTCCACCTCACCACACCATGCTCCTGTTCTGGAGCCATATCCAAGGAAAGACCGCAGCTGAAGTGGTTTCTCCTTCCCTCCCTCAACGGTGTTGTTCAGATGACACCACAATCACCGAACACAGATGAATGCCGTGAAACAGTAAACCTTCACTAGCGATCACTGATCACCGTAATGATGCATCAATGTATCTATAAAAATCAATAATTATGCTTACGATAATGTATACAATTGTGCGCATGATAATAACTCACAGTGTATGAACATTAAACATCGATGTCACATTGGGTGAATGGAATTGTGACAATTTATTAAATAGCTGGGAGAATGGAGCATGGAGAGGGTGGGTGGAGGGTTTGAATGATTTACATTCCAGGCGACTGCACGGCGCTTCAAACACATCGACAATGTCGTCTGCACAAACACTCGCAATAACATGGACAGCGAGGGCTCATTCAGATTGAACGTTCTTTGGCCTTGCCTCGCGTAACAAAGCAGGTAGCTCATTTCTCAGACATATCCTTTTGATTTTACTAAAGGGTATCGCTTCAATGCAGCTGTCGCTTTAGACAGTGCAATGGCAAAGCTACTTAGCGCAGTGAGGAGAGCGTATTCAATCTGACAGAAGGTTGTCTGTCGATGCTCATCCATAAAAGGGGTTGCTTTGCCGGATAAACTTTCGCGGTGCGGATTCGTGGATCACAGACGGATTCTCAAAACAAAGCCTCGACAGACCTGGTTTTCGCCTGAGGACGGCTGCTTGCGTTGTGGCCGAAACGTCGTGAGAATTGTTTTATTATGTTTTATTTTTATTATTTTATTACTTCCCTTCTACGTGGTGACTTTACCGAAAGAACCAAGAAGATTAATCCCTGCAGTCATGAAATCTTTAAATCGAAATTTAACCGCCTCTACGGGGAGGGATTCCACATAACTTTGAGATCCTTCAACAAGCTCCGTGATAAGAAGGCTCAGCTAATCGAGTCTCTCACCTTTCTGAAGAGATGCCGTGACTCTAAGACCTGGTTTCACCTGAGGACAGCTGCTTGCGTTGTGGCCGAAACGTCGTGAGAATTGTTTTATTATGTTTTATTTTTTATTATTCTATTACTTCCCTTCTACGTGACTTTACCGAAAGAACCAAGAAGATGAATCCCTGCAGTCACGAAAGCTTTCAATCGAAACAAAGCAGAAAAGTTTTGGCATCTGAACTGCGTGGAGTTTGGCTGTTAGTCATGCCGTGCGGAGAAAATGCACTGACACGAGGAGGAATAAGAAGTACGCACCCATGGCACACCCCACAACCTCCACAACCTCCACGGCGCTCACTTTGTCTTCACCATCTGCTGCTGTGCATGGTCTCGCACAGAGAAGGTGGGAGGGGGCTTTAGGGGGAGGCGAAAAGGCCTAACACCTGCATCCGTGACGTAAATGCGAGACGAGAGCTGTGGTGTGACCGTGTCGCCTTGGGTGCAGGGGGGGGGGGGACTTAAATAGACGCTGGCCCGGGGGGGGGGGGGGTATTGGCTGTGATGCCACGTGTCCGCTGCTAAGTTGGATGTAAAAAAAGACCAAGGGGGAAAAAAACAAATCAGGCCAGCTCGCTTGAATATCAAAACCGGGGGCTTTGTGTTCGCGGTATTTCCGCAGCGGTGAGGATTATATGCCAACCCCTCAATTATCCATTTTAATATCTGAGTGATTGACGTTTTATATTGAATAATAAATAGGTTATTGAATGCATACATTCATTCACGTACCACTCGAAAAATTAATGTGACCCGAGTGGCATAGTTGGTTTGACAACTTGGCTCACAATTGAGTTGGTGGCAAGTTTAACTCTTAATTAGGGATCGACTCAGCCAATTATTTTTTCATTAGGATACTGAACCTGTCATGGTAAAATGGCATTCTAGATTAGAAGTTTTCGTGACTGCAGGGATCCATACGCTTTGGTTCTTTCGGTAAAGTCATGTAGGTATAAAATAAAATTAATTAACTCACGACGTTTCGGGTGCAAAACGTCGTGATTTAAAAACACGTGATTTAATTTATTTTATTTTATACCTACGTGACTTTACCGAAAGAACCAATGAGTATAAAATGGCATTGTCACCACTTGCTTTTGTGGAATTTCAGCGTTGGACAGAATTTCCCGGTAAATATGAGGGGAGATGGTCCCAAGCGGCTAACGATGTCAGGACGCACGCCCCACTCACAAAGTCAACCAATCAGGCTCCATCAGTCTCATCCAAACACATATACAGGAACAAAAAAAATCAACACATTCGTCAATAACACTGTCTTATATATAAGTAAAAATGGATGATGTTTCTAGAGACAACTCTCTTATCCAATCTACTTCTCTGCCCTCTCTATGTGCTATAAAGATTAATTGTCCGAAATGTTACCTATTGAATAGAGTATGTACTCTTTCTTTTTAAGGCCACATTGTTATTCACGAATTTGTGGAGTGCGTTTGTTATTTGCAATTTGTGCACCACTGCCAACACCGCAGCATCGCCAAATAATGTGCTTACATTTGAATCCATGCATACTGTATGCTAATGCATCTGGGTGCGTTCTGCCCACCATTGCGGTGCAGAATTGTCGTATCCAGACACAGATAGCTTAGCGTTCCTGTAAAACGATTATGATGGCAATGATTGGAATTATAATGATTGTTGGTGATGATAACAGATAAAGATGATGACTATGATCTAGATTTGAAGTTTTCGTGACTGCAGGCAATCATACTTTTTGGTTCTTTCGGGTAAAGTCACGTAGGTATAAAATAAAATAAATTTAATCACTGATTTAATTTATTTTATTTTATACCAACGTGACTAAATTAAATCAGTTATTAAATTTATTTTATTTTATTAATTAAATCAGTGATTACATTTATTT